AAGCCATGTTGGCGTCCCGTTGAATCCTATCATGGAGCTGTCAAACTGCTCTAAATCATCTAGGTGAAGGCCAAGCTCCTTATAACATCCGACATACATGATGTCACAAGAGCTGCCTTGGTTAATCAGTATACGTCTCACCTGGCACTCTCCAACCTTCAGAGTTACCACCAAGGCATCGTTGTGTGGATGCTGGACCATATCTAGGTCTGCCTCAGTAAAGGAGACCATTTTTTCCTGGTATTCATCTGTCTTGGGCTTCTTTCGTTGGGCCTAATACACATGCTGCAGATGCCTTACTCTTTGGGTCTCCCCTCGTACTCCATTCTCATTGATTTTCGAGTGAATCACATTAATTACCCGAGTTCCATCTGCTTGCTGCGGTGGCGGTGGTGTAGGTGGTATTGTCAGTGCTGAAGGAAGCCTTGCATGCTCTTCCCTTGTCCTGGCCTTATCTACTAGGTCTCTTAGGTGACTCTGTCTGACCAGATCTTCCAAGTGCAACTTCAAAGCCCTGCGCCCCTGATTCAAGTGTCTATCCTCATTATGGTAAGCGCAATGTTTCCCAATGCTCCTTCCCATAAACTCACCAAGGATCTTCTTCGGCACTCTGTAATATGGCTGGTTCTTGATCCTTTCCAAAACTTTGTGGATTGAGATCTTGAATACCGTAGTGACTGCATGTGTAGCCCTAACACCTGCATTCCATCGGTCCACTTCGGCAAGCCGTTTCTCCTTTTTTGCTTAGATGTCCTCGCCCCCTGTGTGTCTTCTTCCGCTCGGCATATTTCTCAATCTGTGCCATCAGTTGGTCCATGCTTTTCGGAAGGGTTTTGGCAAGTGATTTCCGAAGCGAGCATTTATCATTCAGGCCATTCTTGAAAGACACGACCGTCAACTCTTGGTTACAACCAGGAATCCAGTTGTACACCTCGTAATATCTCTTGGTATAAGCCCTGAGGCCTTTGTCATCGTTGATCTTCAAAGCCAATATGGAATTTACCGTCAGTAGCTACAATTTGTTCGTAACAAACCTGGAACAAACATCTCAGCTAGGCCTTCCCAACTCTTCACAGTTCCTTTTGGCAACTTATGAAACCAATCAAATATTATCTCTCCAAAGGATGTGAGGAATACCTTGCATAGCAGCTGCTCATTCCCGCTCCACAAAGCCATTGAATTTAACTACAGGTCGATATGAAAGTTTGAATCAGACTTACCATCGTAAATCTGGAACCTCTTCATGTGGAATCTCGTTGGAGCCTCAAACATATCCAACTCCACCGAGAATGGCGTCTTCGGCTTGACGGTGGATGTGATCCTGGCGTTGAGTCGCTTTCTCTGGAAGTAGTCCTTCAAATCCTCTTTCGTTCATCTGGGAGCTCGGCTATCAATAGATTTCAACTTCTTTAGTGCGCTACTCCCGGTGTAATTGTGTGTTCGTTTGGACTTCCCTTCGTCCACTGCATCAAAACAGAGGCCCTTCCCTTAGATATGCTGAGATTCTTTGACATAGGTCCCCTTGGTTCGTGGTGTCTTCTGCGATTCACCTTGTACAGACTCTGTCCACTTGACATCCCGTGACGGCTAATGTAAGTGCTCCTATCCCTTGCCATGCTACAAGACTACTAGAACCGTTTTCTGCCCTCCTTTCTAGGCATCAGTTTTAGCTGCTGGTGCCGGTGTGTCCTGCAACGAGAATGGTGGTTGCATCACGTTGTTTTGTATCATAAAATTGACCACCGACTATAGGTCTGCCAATATGTTTGCCATCTATTTCATCTCTCCATCCCTTATCAGGCATCTATCATTTCATACCTGGAGGTCGCTTTCATTGTAGTATTCATCTCGGTCTCCCTTCTTGGGGACGTTACACTCTTTGCCAGTGTCCTTTTCCCTAAGATTCGGTTCCTGGACTCCCTCATTACGGTTTTCCTCCCTAGCGTTAGGATCTACATGTTTCTCACTCTCACTGTGGATGTCGTCCCCTATCTTCGTTTCCTATCCGTTATTGGCCATCTATTCTCCTTAAGTTCCTACAGACGGCGCCAAATTGTGAGTGTTAATTTTTTACCACACAACCAAAGGGGAAACTCAACTAGAGAGGACTAGTAGGATAGATTAAGCCCAATAACCTGTAACAAGAAGAAGAGAATTTTGCGGTGGTTCGTCCACCTGGGGGCACTCGGATGATCAAGTCAATAATCAATATCTCTCACAGATAGCAAATAATACTTAAACTCACAAGAAAGAACTTACCCCAGACCCATGGGGGTGTCTTACTTTTATAATCGGCAGTGACCTGATCACCTAGAAGTCTCACTTCACTGAACTCAGGCTCAATGCTTATTCTGGAATCTCGGTTAGATAGGGATAAACTCCTCATGAGCCTTATCCTTATTCAGACTGAGATATTTCCCTCCTCTAGGACTCTTATCCCTTATCCGCTTATCTCGGATTCCGGTATCTCTGCAGATTACCTCAGCCTTGCCGAGATAATCTCCGCAAGCATAACCAGGCCATGTGACACCTCGACTGACAGTTCGGTGTCACCTTAGCCACGTGCTATCGTTCACAAAATACTTCCCCATAATACCTATTAATCAATATAATTGTGGGTTAAATTATTACAAAAAATTAAAAATCTCAAATATTTTCCATAAAATTTTCTTTTTTACTAATAAAAAAATAAAAAGAGTTCAAATCTCTCCCCATTAGTTCTGAGGGTGTTTTAAAAATATAATTAAAAATTGACTTTTTATAATTTTTTAAAAAATATATAAAATATAGAGCTATGATGGAGACCCCCTCAAAACGCCCACCCCCACCACCCTCACACACACGTGGGGGTTGGGGATTGGGAGAGAAGAAAAAAAAGAAAAAAAGAAAAAGAAAAATGGACCAATCAAAAGCAAAGGGGGTGGAGGGAAAGGGAGTGGGGGAAAAAGGAGTCTTAAACATTTTTGATATAACGTGATTCAAAATAAGTTAAAAATAAAGGAGACAATGAATAGATAGATAAAATCTTCACAATTGCTTTAGTTCACGTTAGGATCAATCCGTAATATCATTATTTAACAATAAATTATTCTACAGATAGTCAATTATGCTTTATTTGAATAGTAAGATTTAGATTTTATTTGGTAATATCATAAGTAAGCTACTAATTGATTTATTAAATTACATTATATTTTTATTTTTTAATATGTCTTTTTATAATAAGTAAAAATAATAATTTATAAATCATACCTAAAATTGTGTATATATATATATATTTAATTAATAATATCACATATTAATGACATAATATCATTGTTATACTAAATTTTTATTCTAATCTTATGTATGGTGAGGCCACCACTGGTGAAAATTAACCCAATTGAACCCAAGTTATATGGCATTTAGACAACTAAGAACTAATTTTTGGTCGTCTTAAAATTAACCACCAAAAAACTCAAGTGACAACATGAGATACTTTAATTTGAGAACTTAAATTTTATCAGTGTATTTTTTAATTTTTTATTAAATATGAGGTGGGTATGGATTAGATTTGAAGTGATATGATAGAGAAGTAATGTGACTTAAGTAGAATAATGACTTTTTAATTTTTTAACTTTTTTAAAAGAAGACAAATAAAGCCTTACATCCAATCTCTCTCTTTCTTATTTCTTAGTGGTTAAGTTGTTAAGCAACAATCCTAGAATGACACTTTTTTTTTTTTTTTTTTTTCTCTCAATTTTTTTTTTTGTGGGATCAGAATCCTAGAATGACACATTGACACCTTGTAACCTCTTAATTTCTCCCTTTTGGCATGGGATTCTTGTTCATGCAAAAAAGTGAAATAATACCTTTTAATTATAATCCAAAACCAAACCCTTTCCTACAAGTTCAGTTTGAGATTCACTTTGTATATCATGCATGCCAACCAACCCTTGAGTGGTCACCACTGGTGAGTTTACTTCCCACTTGGGATAGCAACATCAGCATATGCCCTTTCCACCTTGATACTAAGGCACAATTTAGCATAATCTCTAAAAATACATTTTTTTTATCTTTTTATTTTTTTTAAGTCGTATCATCTTTCTACTTTTTTACACATCTTTTTCATAAAAAATTAAAAGACACTTATTTAAATAATTCCAAACACCCTCTAAAGATACACCCACCATCATGTTCCCCCCCTCCTCTCTCTCTGTCTCTCCCTCTCTCTAGTTAAATTAAATCTTAGACATGTGAAAGAAACAGAAAAAAAAAAAAAGTTCCTCACCCTCCCCTCTCTATTTAAATTAAATCTTAGATTTGTGAAAGAAACAGAAAAAAAAAATATATATATATATATATATAAATTTCGACAACCTACCCAACACTGAAATTTCTAAATAAGTTTCCCCAGCTTGAAAACCTGTCACTACCATTAAACCCCCTCTGAGCCTATTTACGGCAACTTCCTGCAACTTCAAAGCCAATAAAAAAAATAGAATAAAGAGAATAAAGATTTGGACCCCCTTTCTTTTTTGATTGGTCACTTTTTTTTTTCTTTTTCTTTTTTTTTTCTTCTCCTCCAATCACCATCCACCACGTGTGTGTGAGGATAATTGGGATTGAAATTTAAAAAAGTCTAAATCACTGCTGAAAAAAATAAAAATAAAAACATAAAGCTAAAAACACCCTTTTTCAGGCTCCTCAATAATCAATTTTTTCAATTCATTTAAACTAAAAATTGTAACAAACAAAAATGCACAAATTTTTTTTTTTTTTTTTTAAATCAGTAAGTTACATACAAACCCACAAGTTGCACTAAACACTTTAATCACTTATAATACAATGACTTCAACCCTAGAAAGAGAGAAACTAGAAGTTTTTTTTTTCCCCTTTAAATTAGCTGTGTATACAATTGTTTTCCTGCATTTCTAAAAATTATCTTCATTCAGAATTGTTGGTCTCAACTATGATTCAGGTTATCTAGCCTCAAAGAAAAGCATGCATTCACACCAGAAACATGAAATCCATCAAGTAACTTTGATATATAACATATTTTCGATCCTAAGCAATGGGGAAATAGAGAGTAGCAGCATATAAAATCACCAACAAATTTCTCATTAACCAAACCCATAACACCAAGGCTGTGTTTGGTGCCATGGAATGGGACTACATTTTTGGCAATGGACACAACAATTTGATTCCGAACAATAAAAATTTAGAGGTGCCTAAGAAAAACATAATGTATCTGGCATTCTAACATTCCAATCACAAAACCAGCAGCACATCCTAGAACTTGAAATCCTTTTTCTTCGATTTTCCGTCCTTTTCCTGCATTTTCCGTTTCCTCTTCTTCTCATTCTGAAAAATTCCACCTCATCAGAACAAAAGTGTCCATAAATACTAATTAAAACAAGTATAAAATCAAAAAGATTGTGAGAGATGCACACCTCAGCAACCATGTCACTGAAATCCTCCCGCTGACTACGCAGCTTCTCCTCCTCCCTTGCTTCCTCATACCTGTGAAATGCAAAATAAATATGAATTAGGTGCCTTGTAGCTAATGTACTGATACTGACACTAAACAAACTATGAGGACTCGGACTTACTTTGCATGCAAGACATTGTCCATTACTTCCAACTCTTCTGGTTGTAATGTGACATCAACTTTATCTGATTTTTGACCTCTAAGCAGATCAACCTGAAAAAAGAAATAACATGAACAATAAAATGAGACGCATCATTAAGCCTGTGACTCGTATGGATCAATCACACGGATTATATTTACAGGTAAATTCACCTCAACACAGAATTTGAAAGGATTTTGCAAATTTGCTTAATCGTAAAATTGAACATGAATGATATATGATTCGCAATCCGGATATAATTAGCAGTTAGGGGAGTAGAAGATCAATGACAGAACCAAATATTTTTCTCAAAGCCCTTAGGACAAAACAAATCATGTACAGGCTACAGCAGAATATCTAACACTTACCTCGACCGATGCAAATAGATAAAACTACATGCATTCTTCAGTGCTCACATAGAAACTAACAAAGCATGAGTCATAGAATTAGTGGCATGTGGCCCAATTGGTGAAATTAGGTCAACTTCAAAACAGAAATTTACTTGTTAAGATTTAAATATCCACCTCATGCAACAGGGGAGCACAAATGCCAGTCATATTCGGGGTAAGTTTGGGAAGTTAAAAAATAGCCAAAAGAGCCCCAAAAAAAAACTACTAAAAAAGCCAAAGAACTATCCAAAAAAGGTCCAAGATTTCATTTCCGCTACTTTTTGCACATTTTTTTGTAAAAAGCCAAAAAAACCATCTTAAACATACTAAATTTTTTCACCTCATATTTTAGCCAAAAAGCTAAAAAGTTACTAAAATAGTCTATTCCCAAACCAACCCTCAGAAAATGCATTCATTGGAAATTAAGCCCAATGAGCTCAGTTTTGGGGAAACAACGCAGGGGTTGGTCTGATTGACAATATAAGTGTGAACTTGCATGTACTTTATTTCATGAATCTGTTGTAACTGCTCTCATTTTGAGACACTATCAAGCCATAAGAATATCTGGTTCACTACCTTTTTATTCCCCATATCATTAACTTCTAATTATGGTCATGCTAAAGTTCACTATTGGGACAAATTCCACTAAATTTGATTTGCTAAACAACTATCAAGCATACAAGCCAGTCACTAGGTCCATCTATCAATAAAAAGCCCAGATGTGCTAAAATTTTCAATTAATTTGCATTTCAACAGAATCGGGAAGAAGAAAAAAATTATCAAATTTGCTTGCTTACCCTTCTGGCTGCTGTCTTGTCTTGAGTGCCAGTGCCAATGACATACCTGTTAGAAGGAAAAGGGTCAAACATTTCTCAATTCAAGAAAAAAGTGTCTTACTGAAACAAAATCTTCAAATTTGCTATATTGAAAAAGACATATATGTTTATTGCATACGTATGAGATGTTCCAAGTAAGGTCCCTGGAGCAATCTTTTCTTCCTTTTCCTCCAGTACCTTCAGAAAACAAGGAAAAGAACTGTGAGCATCAGGAACAATATAGTAAAAGCTAATATATGAAATAGGCAGTCATGTACAGTATACTGACTTGGTAAAGAGGCTTCTCAGGCTCCTTTCTCTGTTGCTTGCGAAGATCAATAACATCTGGAGTCTCAACACCAGTAGGAGTGCTGAACATTGACAAGGAAAATAACTCATTACTAGAAATTACAGATTTCCAACTATAGCAAATCATGTAGACAAGCAATTGCCCCAACACTCTCCCCCAGTCATTGTAAAATGACCTCCCTCTATGCTACTTGGTATGCAGATCGTTCTTGTACAAGGAAAACAAATGGAGACGTGAGACACCATGTGCTCTAAAATGTGGTGCAATAGGAATAAGATTGAGTATATCACACTATTAAAATTTAAGGCATTTCTAATCGTGAGATTAATTTCCATTTACCAATTAGACATCTAATAAGGTGTGGTTTGATAAAATTGAAAACTGAAAATTAAAAGCTAAAATCTGAATGCTTAATTCTTTAATCAGAAAAACTGATTGGTGCTTTCTAAAATCCAATCCAGCATTAAGTTCGGCCATCAGGCAGCCCCTAAAACATACTATTTATTATTTTTACAATTAATCATATAATAATACATTTCTAATAACCTCCTGTCAAAACTCGATGCTCTTTAGATTTTAGTTCTTATATTTGATATTTTATACTGAGGCCTAGTTTGGGAAGACTAAATAAGTGCACTTTTTGACTTTTTATGAAAAATGGGTTGGGTTTGGGTTGGGTTTGAAGTGATGTGTTAGAGAGGTGATGTGACTTAAATAAGATGATGTGACTTAAATAGGATAGTGACTTTTTGACTTTTTATCTTTTTTCAATCATGCCAAACTTGGCCTCAGGATCATGAAAAAAAATGTCATGAAGATGATCATGAAAGATTCTCCACCTTTGGATTACACATATAATAAAACACCACACACTAATCAAAGGATGAAAAATTTTCATGATGCATTTCATGATATTTTTTTCATGATTCCTAAGATTACTCTTTTATACTCGTAAGGAAATAAATAGGGGGAGAAATTGATATCACTAAATCTGCTGTTTTGGAAGGAAAGTGTACCATGTTTTTGGAGTGCGTTACAAAATATAAATTGTTAGGGTATTAACGTTTCTTTATAACTATGGCCTCTCATTTATGTGCAACTGGAAATTTTGAAAAGTACATAAGCAATCTCTCTATTAGAGTGTCCAGCATAACCATGACTAATCCCACCATCCCCAAATCTTGAAAAATAGCCAAAACATACCAACCTAAAATGATGTACAACACTACCAATAAGGCAAGTACAATAAATGGTGTCCAACACTACCAATAAGAAATGTACAAACCTTGAAAGACTGTCAACAGATTGAATGCCAGCCTCCAATTCCTCTTCCTCAATTTGTTCTTCCACGTCCTCTTCGTCTTCCTCTTCGTCTTCTTCTTCTTCCTCCTCCAAATCACCCCAATGCTTGGTCTTGTCAACTGGTTCTTCCTGAATGGTTTAATGAGATAATAAAGTAAATTTTAACACGTCTTAGTAAGAACCTTGGGCATTAAGTTCAATCTATGTATGAGACCCACTCGGGAAGACTATAACTTAAGCACCACAAACAATAGCTCGAGTCTTCCCAATATCTTCAGAAATAAATAAAGGCAATTGCCATTGTCGAAAACAGATCTTACTGGCAAACCAAAATATGACAGTTAAAATTTCGATTGGTTTTTCAGTAATTGCCTTTTCAGTTTGCGAGTAAAATTGGTTTAAAACTACTGTTTCCAAACATGGTACTTCTCACATAAATATTGTAACAGAAAATATTGTCAGAGTAAGTACCTCATAGTTGGGCTGTTCTTGCAGCTGGACTCCGAAGACATCACCATACAGTGGGCGGCCATACTATTTCAAAAGAATAATAACAATAAATACATAAAGAATGAAAAAATAAAAAATAAAAATGCCAACACACAGCTTGAAATAAATAAACAACGAAGAATAAACGGGAACACAGAGCAAAGTAAAACAGTAAAACTTACTTCATCAACAGGAGGTTTGCCCCAACCACCAGGATGATAACCAAAACTAGCTCCAAGAGGAATGGGAGAGGAGCATTCAGCCCAGGAATTTTCAAGTGTGGATAAGAAGGTGGTGGGCCATATCTCTGGCATTAAAAATTGGTCAGTCAAAAGAAAAAATTAAGACCGAAAAAATAATTTGAGAACAGAAAGTTAAAAGCCAATGTCGTAAAGGTCAAAATTAAGTAGAATACATCAACTGACCTGCATATTTATGAGCCACGGGGGAGGAGCTCCTTCTGGCATACCAAGAGCTTCTTTTAGTTCCTGTGATAACATCCCAGGCTTCATCTCCCTTAGCTTTACCTGTATGACATGTAAAAGAATGTAATTTGCCAAAAATGTTGCATTCTAAATAGTACCATTCCAGCTAATTGAAATATTATCTAATGAACTGTATGACATGTAAAAGAATGTAATTTGCCAAAAATGTTGCACTCTGAATAGTACCATTTCAGCTAATTGAAATATTATCTGATGACCCGGGAGAATGATATTTCAAACCTATCACGTATAGTAAAACAATTAACATCAATTGCAACTACCATCTTATTAATTGTCACCCAAAAGGCGCATCATCCCCATAAACTAGACACCTCCTCTTAACACAGCAATTAAATTCAGTACAGTTGAGCACCACATCACATTCACAAGACTGAGAATGTCTCGGGCCAACTTGCCATGCAAGAAAATGGAATGAAATGTAAAGGAGCAGAAAATTTCTATTGGATAGCAATATAGCAGTTCTAGAACTTGTGAAGGTGTTGCATAATCAGATGCAAGTGCATAATGAGTATGCTAATCTTGTAACATCAGCCTCCAATCCTCAATACCATTTCTGTATAAAATTTCAAGCACAATTCACAGTCTAATCTCTTAGTCATCAACTACTCTATTTTGTACAAGCATCATTACGTCCTGTTGAATGTCCATACAACACAGTGCTCTTTTTTGTTTATAATTTAAATCCTAACGCAAAAGTGGGGCATTCAGAGTACTGATAAATGCACAAGAAATGAATGAGAGATTAGATCATATGACAAAATCACTTTCAGGTATACGTGCATGTATAGTCGTATACCTAACACATTGTCATATCCTCCTCTTTTTTTTCTTTTTGAATTGGCACTGGGGTGTCCTGATCAAAGCCCAACTAGTCCCCAGGGGTGCACAGGCCCTCGGCAAGAAGTTTCCGCAAGTACAACACAGTTAATTCAAAGGTTTCCCCCAATCCGATGGCCCCAAGAAATTGTTAGGATTTAGAGGCTTCAACCCCTAAACCTGGAGGGCGCACACCCTTTGGGCCTTGCCACCAAGCCAACCCTTTGGGGTTATTGTCATATCCTTTTTTAAAAGAATTTGACATACCTATGTGCCTATATCATGTCATATGCACATCCCATGCTAATGTCCATGTTTCATATTCAAATAATAAAAACTAGACGGCCTATTGTCTTGAACAATACCATGTAAACAATACATGCAATAAAACAGAACTTGTTAGAGAGAGAAAGAGAGAGAGAGAGAGAGAGAGAGAGAGAGAGAGAGGTGTGGATGACTAATGTTAACGGGAAGGCTGAGGGGGCAGCCTTCAAATGAGATGGTGGGCACTGAAATGGTGTGGGATCACCAAAGGCTATAAAGCACAGACACCTCTCCGAAGGCAGCATATGGGTGTCCAAAATGTGTTGGACACGCGGTGGACATGTGTCCCCCTTTTTTTTTTTTTTGAATTTTTGCAGCCGAACACGCTTGATACACTCTTGGACACATTGGAGACAGAGAGAGAAACCCTAACCAATTCAAGAGAGAGAGAGAGAGGAGGGGATGAAGCCGAAGCAAGAAACTGGAAAAAGGGAGAAGTCGAAGCACTCTTGTTAGAGAGAGAGAGAGAGAGAGAGAGAGGTGTGGATGACTAATGTTAACAGGAAGGCTGAGGGGGCAGCCTTCAAATGAGATGGTGGGCACTGAAATGGTGTGGGATCACCAAAGGCTATAAAGCACAGACACCTCTCCGAAGGCAGCATATGGGTGTCCAAAATGTGTTGGACACGCGGTGGACATGTGTCCCCCTTTTTTTTTTTTTTGAATTTTTGCAGCCGAACACGCTTGATACACTCTTGGACACATTGGAGACAGAGAGAGAAACCCTAACCAATTCAAGAGAGAGAGAGAGAGGAGGGGATGAAGCCGAAGCAAGAACTGGAAAAAGGAAGAAGTCGAAGCACTTACCCAACATTATTAGAGTCCAGAAACAACCTTGTGCAGCCCAGATTGCTTGAAAATCAAAGTCAACTTTGCAGATTGGTGCAAAATCCAGGCAGAATCGAACAAACAAATCAAACCCAGATGGCTTCGACTTGAATCAAGGCTTTGATTCAGGCACACGAATCAACTGCAAACTCAAATCAACTCAAGATTTACAACACAGATTGCAAGAATGTCTTGAAAGTCAAGATTGAGGTCGAAAACTGTGAGTCGATGAGTCCCAACCAGTCGCAAACCCCAAATCATGTCTCTCTTGCTTTCTCTATGTGTTCAACTCTCTCTCTCTCTCTCCCCCCTCTGCATGTTTGACTCTCTCACTCTATTCTATTTGTTTTTTCTTTTCTTTCCTCCCCTCTCTCTCTCTCTCTCATGAATGAACCTTCTTTTATAGTACAATTTTTTTTTTGTAACAAAAACATTTTTTTTCCCATCTTTTTCTTTTTTCTATTTTTTTGGATATTCTTGTTTGCTAAACATTAACATACATAAAATAAATTATTTTATTTGTAGAAAAAAATTTAATTTGTGAATGATATTTGACATTAAAATAAATAAATAATATTTTTTTTTTTTAATTTTGCATATAATAATAAACAAAATTATATATATTGAGCATATCCCCAGCACGTTGTATCCCCCATTTTTTTAAAATTTGCATGTACGCGTGTCCGTGTCTATGTCCTGTTTCATGTCCGTGCTTCATAAACCGAAGGTAGAGGAATAAAACCATGGGGGACAACTCAGCCTAGAACAAGTGACGCTTCACCCTTAATTCAACAATCTAGATGTTCTTACCTACCTCCCATTGGGGGCATGGCAAGACTTGGAGGTCATATAGTAGGGTGCCATTAGATATGATAAGCCTCGAGGCTTGTATCATACCATTAGGTATGATGAGCCTTGGAGAATTTCGTGAGAGCCACAATGTTAGGTATGATGTAACTCCTAAGGTGTTATACCTTAGTCAATGATAGCCTTGTCTTCTTGTAGTTGGTTATCCATCTCTCTAAGATGGGTCAAGATAGAGCCACTCCGAGTGAGTAACAACCCGAATGATCTCTCAACTCAATGTCTAAATCACATGTCCTCCGGCGATCCCAAGTAGGGATACCTAGGTTGAACTCCCAGACTAGGTAACAATGAGAATGACGGAGATACGCTCAATATATAGGAGATAATCCATCAGAGGGGGCGAATGAGGCATGGGAGGATCATGCCCTACTTGAGAACTTAGACAAGCCAAGAAAATTTCGAGCAATGTTGCTATAAAGTATAGATGACATAGCTGAGAGAATAACCATCGACCTAGAAAAGTGGTGCTCCACGTCACACCTTGAGATGCCCCATGCCATGTTTGGGCGTAAATACGACTAAGATATCGTGAGCTAGCTGACCAAGCTGCCACACTTAATTGTTTATATATTGGCCCAACTAAGTGCCCATATCAATAACCAATCTTCAAGGTGACCTGCAAGCTAGCTCGCAACTTGGAGATTCTTGTATGGGTTGGAGGTTACATGGGACTTATGAGACCAAATATGCAGCAATGGTCCACATTTGTGTCACATGGACTCTCGTATGGGTGTCAGGCATGCATATATGTCTGAGTGTTGATTCATCTAATTCCCCTAATTCCTATGTCTAAGGACACAGCAAAATATCCATATTTCTTAATATACTTCTTTTATTTAGGGTAACATAGTGTTCACAAGTTGCTATAGAGCATTTCACACACAATGTAGGGGTTTTATGCATAAATAATAGTAAACTCAAATTACTAAATATGCTTGCTAGGTGGGTGTCCAACTACACATGTCAAGCACATCACATACACATACCCTTACCCAAGTGTCAAGTTTTTGACATGAGCTCTTCATGCATTTTGAGGAGCCCATGTAACATAGGTCCAATTAACGCCCCTACAAGTTTCAATGTGGCACTCAAAGCTCCTACTGACCCTTAGGTTTCTAACCTACCCATTGTGCCCATGGTAGATCTTGGAGATCATGTGTGGGATGCTAATCGGAATATATGATAAGTCTCAAGGGTTGTATTAAGGGAGTTGCAAGGAGCTACAGCCCTAGGTATGGCAGTTCACAGAGTGTCATACCTTGGTCAATAATCGCCTTGCCTTATTGTGTTTGTCCCTCCCTCTCCAAGATTGATCAAGATCAAACCACCCTGAGGGAGTGAGCCAAGCAACCTTGGCCATCCCTCACCTTTAGTATCCAAGCCACAAGTTCTCCATTGGTCCCGGTCAGGGAATCCTAGGCCATGCTACCAACCCAAGTAATAATGGTGGTGGTGGTGATTAACGTTTGTAAAGGCCAATGCATAATGTGAGGTGTTTTACCTCCCAAGGCGTAAGCATTTCAAATTTTAAATTTTCATAGTTAGTGGGTGTTTGGGAAATTGTTATTTTAGTAGGCTATTTTAGTTTTTGGTTATTTTAGGAGGCTAAAATTTTTGTGTTTGGAAAGATAGTTGGATTTTTTTTGTAATTGGATGTGATGTTTGTGAGAGAAAAATTGAAATGATTATGAGTTTGATGTGACATTTTGTCTTATTAGCTATTTTAGCCTATTTTGTCTTTTAGTACTATTTTAACCAAAAAAGCTAAAAAAAGCTCTTCCCAAACACCCTCTTAGTAAATAACTAAAATATTTTTAAATAGTAGAAAAAATTATTAAAATTAAATATAATAATCTAAATATTTTCTCCTCAAGGCATTGAATATTTCATTGCAGAGAAGAATGCTTGCCCTCATCAAAGGTAGAAATGATATTCTTAGTTTCAATTATCGAACTTCTCACTTGAGCCTTAGCTTTGTGTTTTTCAGAATATATAGTTACAAAAGAAACTCCGCCGAGGTTGCTTAACAACTCCGCCAATCCCAAGCCCGGGTAAAGGAGGAAGTTTGTGTTAGGTAGTCAACAACCAACACGTAAAAACTCTGCTCGGATCCTTTATGACATGAAGCCTAATATATAGTTACAAAAGAGGATCATCTTTTTATGTTCAAACCATATACCAGACTATAGTCACAAAAGAGGATCTTTTTATGTTCAAACTTCAAACCATGTATTAGACTAAGTTTAATAACAGTCCAACAAAAGCCTTCCATATACAAGGTGCACCAAAAGCGCACACCTCAAATTGTGATGCGCAAGCCTTTCAAGAGTGTCATCTAAAAAATCAAAGCCTCAACTTTGATGGAGACACCTTTATATGTAGGAGATAATCCATTGGATAAAGAAAAACGAGAAATGGGGGGGTGGCTGCGGGGGATCATGCCCTAGCGAAAAATCATTTGGCAAAGCTCAGAGATGTTGAGCCACGTTGCCACCAAGTGGAGATGGCATGGTCAAATAGAGAATCATTGGCTTAGCCAAACTGTTCTTTGGGCCACACCTCGAGATGCTCCATCCCATGCCCCAGCTGAGATGCTATGTGCTCGTTCATTGGCAGCATGGCTCAAAACTACGGTGTCAAGCACGCAAGTTGCCAAGCTGTCCAACTTGGTGATTTATGTGTCCCTGATAAGGCTAGCCTATAACCCCAATGACCAATCTTGAAGATGTACATCATTGCAAACTCACCACACTGATATCCTTGTCTGAGTTGGAGAAGATGTGATGCCTACAAGGCCTACTACATTGCAGTGGTCATACATATATATATATATGAGAAAGGAAGGATACTCAAAGAACAAGAAATATATCAAAGATTTAATTTCCCTTAAAGGGAATACTCAAAATTATATAAAGGAGAAAACTCAGAACACCAAGTATGCTTGAAGAACATCAAAAAAGCAAACATCAATACAGGTTTAATTGCTTTGTTAAAAAAACACAAAAGTTTAATTGCCCTTCAAAGGGAATGCTCAAAATTATATAAAGGGGAAAACTAAGAACATCAAGTATGCTTGAAGAACATCAAAACTGTACACACATTTGTCTGTTTATTGATGTAATAAATACTATTCATACCTCAAACTCCTTTCCTTCATGATACAGATCACCATGTGCAGTCAGCTTAGGCTTAGTTTGATATTTAAAAAATGCATCATGAAGAACCTGCAACCAGAAACCATAGGCATAAGGGCATGTCACAATACTGCAAAAGAGTAGGATTATAAAAAATAAAAAAAAATATTAACAATAAATTATATTTTTTATTTTCATTGGTTTTAATATATATATATATAACAAATTATACCTTCAATTTCAAGAGTAAAAAAGAAAGATTGCAAATTCTTAAGATAGTGCATCATGAAGAACCTAAAACCAGAAACCATAGGCATAAGGGCATGTCACAATACTGCAAAAGAGTAGGATTATAAAAAATAAAAAAAAATATTAACAATAAATTATATTTTTTATTTTCATTGGTTTTAATATATATATATATAACAAATTATACCTTCAATTTCAAGAGTAAAAAAGAAAGATTGCAAATTCTTAAGATAGTATAAATCAAAATTTGAGATAAACCTGATAATCAATATCCATTTTTCCCATCTTTGGCTGCATCCTCTCACGTTGCTTCTGTTTAAGCTTCTTACTGTCCTCTTTCTCAATGTAAGCCTGTAAGAGTATACCAATAAAAATTGCAAAAGGTTACAATTGGCGGTATACCACAAATTTCGGCATATGGGGTTCAAACACAAGAAAAAGCTATCATAATTAAAGTTTTGGATGTGGCCTAAAAGGAACAACAACAAAAATTAGGAAACAAGAGTGGAAGATAGTCATCCTAAGCAACTGCATCATTACGGTAAGTAACATTGTTCTGTTTACAAGCAAAATTTTGTTGGTACTGAGAACTGCATTGTACACAAAACAACCTGTCACCATGTATAAATTAATAAATTAAATTTTGCACACTGAAAGTTAATGCTAATGAACAAATTTTGTTGGTACTGAGAACTGCATTGTACACAAAACAACCTGTCACCATGTATAAATTAAATTTTGCACACTAAAAGTTAATGCTAATGAATTGAGAAGGTGATGTTATAAATGTAATAATTAATAACATTTTTTTTATTTTTTATTTTTTTTGATAAATGACTAAGAACAAATATTTATACTACTTGCTATTATACTTACAAAACAAACATTTATACTACTTGCTATTATACTTGATTTATTTTAATTTCTTACATTTCAAATTTAATAGCAGTGTAAATATATGTGATGGAGATGACAAAGACATGGTACATTTGTACTCAATGTTAATAGACATGGTTTAAAATGTGAATGTTTTGTGCATTGTTAGTGTTTTTTAGGCATGCTAATTTTATCAGTTTAATTTTATGTACATGCTTAAACTTCAATATTTTAAACTTGACGTGTTATTATTTATTTATCAAACATGATGGAATTGCACACGCATCGAGTGTGAGCAGTCGCTATTCAGAATAAAACAAATATGAAGATAAAGGTTAATTTTTTTTCCCGTAGAGCATAAGTGTCTAATAACCCACAAGAACATGACCATAAAATGATACAAATATTGAGTACGGCTGTAAAGCAGTCGACAGATTGAGCATACCTGTCTTATTTTCTCAATCCCTGTAGCAGCAATAAAATCAGGAAGTTGAAAAGGCTGTTTCTCAATACCACGCTTCCCCTGCAAAATAATTCAAAACACAATGAGGTACGAATCCTTAAGCAGAAAAATCTTAGATAATTCTGCACTCAAATCAGGTCAGTAAAATGTATGTTCAGCCCAAGCATTATGCACAACGCAAAGGAATCTGTAAATCCAAAGCAGATTAATTAGCATGCTGCTGGTGAACAATCCCAATATCTAACATGCCAAAAAAATATTCCATCCCAGGATTTTTTTTCCCCCTTTTATTTTTTGCTTTTCAAATAAGGCGTCATAAATATGGCTACATCCCATCCCACACTAACAAACATGTTAAAAGAGAAACCATCCAAAGGTCCCCTTTGCCACACACCTACATGTCCAGGCTCCATGATTGTCACAGCCGCTCCCCTGCAAGAATCACATATATACATATAAGAGAAACCTCATTGATGTTTATCCTCCATCACCCTCCCCCCTAAATCTCTCATTTGAGTATGCCCACTAAGCATGCATGCATATTTACTCATTGTGTAAATTTAGCTGGAGTGACAAACCTGCAAAAATTTTCTTTTCTGAGACCAATGTCTTGGCACTGGAACAGTATTTCTATATGATTTCAGAAATACCAATAACTTCGGATCAGAGGCAGTTGCATCCCATACCTGAAAATTAAAACAAATAAATGATTAGATAATGATTACAACAGTCGCAATAACAACGGCAACAACTAGAAATATGAATAGATAACAACCACAAATAGTATTGTATTTGTGGATGGTTAAATAAATAATAATATATCTGCACAATAAATAATTCCAAAAATTGTTGCACCAAAATAACACAACCTTGTTAGTCATCTTTCACCTAAGCTTATCAATCTTAAACCTAAAAAAAGAAAAGATAATTTCAGACACAGGAAGGGGGTTTTGACATTGACCTTGAAAATCAAAAAATAAATATATCAAAGAGAAGCCTCCTTAAAAAAGTAAACTGCAACATGAAAATGAAAAGAAAAAAAGAGCATGATAAACATCTTATGAGCCCCATAGAATTCCGTTTGAAATGTGCTAAAAAAAAAAAAAGAGAGAGAGAGTAACCTCCTCAAAAAAGTAAACTGCAACATGAAAATGAAAAGAAAAAAAGAGCATGATAAACATCTTATGAGCCCCATAGGATTCTGTTTGAAATAAAAAAAGAACTTCATAAGTTTGTTATGGTCTTCATGATTAGGGGAAAACAATTGAATAGAGAATTGCAGTCGGTGTAAACTCAAAAAGCTAACAATTATAACCAATCAAATAGAAGACTTCCTGGAGAATGGAAGTAGCAATGAGATAAATTTCAAAGGTGTTCCGGATATTGGAACACACACACACACACACACACACACACACAGGGAGAGAGTTTCAGACTTCATGAACAGGTCAATACAAAATTTTGTTCAAATGAAGTAATGTGAAGAATCATTGAATGGATTGCTACCTATGTGATAGATAAATGGAAATTTCAATGATAAGAGCTTTTCAGTTATAATCAATATCTAATTACAAATCATTCTGACAACTGCAGGAGAAAAAAGGCATTTATTACAAAGATGGTGCAGTATACAGAAATTTGATTTTTATTTTTACTGCTTTTAGTCTTACGAGAAAGAACGTGATTCATAACCAAAAAAAAAAGGAACTCAACTTACACTGGAAAACATATACATATACTCATAAACAAAATTTAAAAACTTTCACCTTTCTTCTCCGTAAAAAATTTAAACTTTTTTGAATTCCAATTTAAATTTGGAATTGCCAGTCTAATTGCATGATAATGTAACTGCCCCATGAAAAAAGTGAACTGTGATCACCAAATAAATGACTATGAAGATTTCAACAGTTCACCAAACATCCTTACCTCAACTACATCAGGCCTTGAACATATCTGCTTGAGTTCGGCAATTTTCATCCGCCGTTGAAGCTGAAAGAACATGTGCAAAAAATTTAGCCCATATGTTGAAGGTAGACATAATAATAACGGCAACAATCAATAAACAGGATACTGAAAATCAAACCTTTTTCTTTTTATTAGAGACACCTTTCTCTTTTTGATGGGTATCCTGCTCTTCCTCTTCAGAATCTGAGTCAACCTTCTTTGAGGCAGAATCTGCAGCAGTCTCATCCTTTTTATCGTTCTCCTGAATGAATACAATGGAAGAAATGAGAAAAACTTATAGGGAAAAATATATAGCAAACGAAAGATACTTAATATTTGGGTAAAATTCAATTTACCTCAGACCCCACAATTTCCTTAAAATTGAATTTCTCAAAGACCTTCCTAAACTCCTCATCCAAATGACCATCAAATTCAGCCTTTTCCGGTACATACTCAACTTCAACTTGCTCGATAACCTATTAGTACCAAAACAAACAAAAACACAAGTTAAGAACCAAAAAATCAAAATGATCATTTAAAATAAAATAAAAAAGCACCCATGTTACAAGAATTTGGCATCCCTCCATGTTCGTATCCCTACTAGCTGAGGCTAAAATCAAATTCTATACAATCAAACGAATGGAATAAACTATAAGTGGAATACACTAGATTTTGTTTAAAAGTTACTCATGTTACAGAATCCATGTTCTCAAAAAGCAGAGAAAACAAAATGCATCATTCAGTATGGTTAAACTCATTACTTTGCTCTCTAAAAAAACATAACAACCAGTTTCAATGAAATCAAAACACAACCAGTATGGTTATGCTCATTACTTCGCTCTCTAAATAAACAAAACAACAAGAAGCTTCAAGGAAATCAAAACACACAATGCAACTCAGCCCATTCATCCTGCAAGGATTGGTTATGCTCATTACTTCACTCTCTGGAAAAACATAACAACAACCAGTTTCAAGTCTCCTTATAACCATAGTTGTCAAATTGGGATTCGAATCGTAAATCGAAATGGTATTGTACAGAATCACGAATCAAATCGAAACATGAATCGTAAAGATTCGACCACTTTTTAAATTACATAGAAAAATATATCTATACATTTAGATATTAAAATATACGTAATAAATATGAAATATTTAGACTCCAATCAATGAAAATATTGTTTTAAATGATGATCATGTGGTCTAGGTAAGAAGTTAACACAGGTTCCCATATTTACCACTTCACATTTTCTCTTTTAAATACTATTTTTTATCAATCATTCTTAATAAAGAAAGCAAATAAAGACAAACATTCAATTTTCAAGTAACAATAACTCAACAACAATGTTTTTGAACTTTTTACAAGGCTAAAAAACCAAAATTTTCAAATTTGTTCTAAAATCTCACTTGACGCCTTCAAAAAATTCATTTTGTAAATGCACGTACTTAAATAAAATTGAATAGGTAAGCCTAAAATATTGTAGACAGAGAAAGTTCATTTTTTTGCGATAAGGTTTGAGTATTTGCGAGTAAATAGGGAGGGAGAAAGTCAAAAGATGACATATAGTAATCCTAAAGACCTTAAAAAGGTTGTGTAAACCCTTTTCCAACAATAAAAAAGCAAACAAAAAAAAAAAACTAAACATCGATTATAGCAATTCACCAATTCGGTTCACCAATTCACCTACTATTCATAACTATTTGCGATTCACACAACCTGTTCATATCGATTACCCATTAAATCGAATCGAATTGAATCGTACAATTCTAATAACAGAGCTTATAACAAAAATCATTTGTGATCATCAAACAAAGAGAAAGAAAAATACAAAGCTGAAAGTTGCAAAAACATGTAATTAACAACATAAACCACAACTTTTGAAAAATCTAGAACGCGAATTCCCTACGGCTCAATTTGATTAGAAAGAAAATTTGATAGAAAGTGAAAGTGAAAGAAAAGAAATAGAAAGAAATTTTTTTTTTCTTACCGGCATTTGATTAAAATGAAAATTTCGTAAGAAAAACATTTTAAAAAATTAAATTAAAAGTTTAGTTATAGATAACTCATACATTCAATTTTTCATGTATTTTTTGCAAGAAATTAAGAATTAGTTACAATGTTAGTATGAGTTGTACAAGAAAATTAATTTTCTTCTACCTTCCACCACTTTCAAGCTAAACAAACTCATAAAAGTTCAATTTTTTTCTCTTTCCTCCACTTTCTACCTATTTCATCCTAAACAAACCCAATACTCAAGTCTCCATTCTGTTAATTTCCGTTTTGTTCATAACATACCAAACCACGAAACTACATAAACCCTAATTCACTCACGACTAAACCATATTACGCAATCAAAACCTAAAATCCACAACACAATTTGACGAGAACATGGAAATCTGCATCACAAACACCCCACATAGAAACCAATTCATCAAAACCCTAAAAAAACAACAAGAAAAAGCGAAAGATACCTTGTGAGGATCGGCGATGTCGTCGGCATTGTCATCGTTGTCGCCATCTTCCTCAGCGGCGGTGTCGGTGTCGTTCGGCTGCTGAGAGGCTTTGTTGTTCTTCTTCTGCTTCCGCCGCCTACGGCGGCGCTCAACCTCGCGCGACTTCTTGACGGCGGTGGGGTTGCTAGGGTTTTGATGCTTGACATCGCCGTTGGCGCCATTAGGCACTTCAATTGTCATCTTCTTCTTCGACGATAACTGATGGTTATCGGAGAATTTGAATGAAGGGTTTAGTTTGGTGTCTGGTTCGATTGATCGTCTTCGGGGAAGAGTGAGAGTTTTGGAGGGAGAGATTGGTCGAGTTTTGCTTATGTACCCATTACCCACCCAAAGAATCAGGTACGTGGCGAATATCAGATCAGATGCGGTTCAAAGCCTTTGGAGTCCAGACTTGGGACTTTGGGCCTCCTTTGGAAACATTTTAAAAATAAGGCTCGTTTAGTTTGTATTTGAGAAATATATTTTTGAGATAAAAAGTACGAAAATTTATTTGGTTTGATTTTTTTTCAAAAGATGTTTTGAAAAATTATTTTGAGAGAGAGTTTTGAAAAAAGTAATTGATTTGATGTGTATGAGAGAGAGATTTGTTTGGAAAACTTGTAAACTAAACAAGTTTTGGAAAAAAAATTTGGAAAAATTTGTTTGGTTTGATTACTTTTTAAAACTTATTTGTAGAGAATTTTTCCCAAAATTTTTTGAGAAACACAAACCAAAAAAGGCCACCTTTTATTTTTTATTTTTTAAATTTATTTTATCTCTTAAATTATTACTCAAAAATTAATTTAATCTGATTCTTTTAAAGAAAAATTAGTCTAAGGTCTCTCTTCCATTTTTGGTAATAAAAAAGATCCACAATATTTTTTTATAATGTCTAAAGTCCCTTACCCCCGCACTTATACATGACAGAGAAATTTGACTCTCTCAAATCAAATCTCCTAGAACCTCTTCGCTTTCTCCGAATTCTCCGCCCCCTCCCCGTAGTACCTCTTCCCTGCAATCATCCTCGTCATGACATTGAGAAAATTTATTTAGTTTGGTTTTTTTTTAAAAGATGTTTTGAAAATTTATTTTGAGAAAGAGTTTTGAAAAAAGTAATTGATTTGATGTGTATGAGAGAGAGATTTGTTTAGAAAACTTGTAAACTAAACAAGTTTTGGAAAAAAAATTTGGAAAAATTTGTTTAGTTTGATTACTTTTGAAAACTTATTTGTAGAGAATTTTTCCCAAAATTTTTTGAGAAACACAAACCAAAAAAGGCCACCTTTTATTTTTTATTTTTTTAATTTATTTTATCTCTTAAATTATTACTCAAAAATTAATTTAATCTGATTCTTTTAAAGAAAAATTAGTCTAAGGTCTCTCTTCCATTTTTGGTAATAAAAAAGATCCACAATATTTTTTTATAATGTCTAAAGTCCCTTACCCCCGCACTTATACATGACAGAGAAATTTGACTCTCTCAAATCAAATCTCCTAGAACCTCTTCGCTTTCTCCGAGTTCTCCGCCCCCTCCCCGTAGTACCTCTTCCCTGCAATCATCCTCGTCATGACATTGAAGGTGAGCTTTCAAAATCAGAAGCGAAATATGATCGCAACTCAAAATTTGGTGCACCTTCGAGACAAAAGTGCTAGAGTTCAACTTTGAGTCAAATTGCAATCCAGTTCAAGGGAAGACCAACTCGCATGTGAGCCACGACTCTGAATCTAGGCTGAATCAGAATAGAACATCAGCGAAAGCATAGGTTCAAATCTTGAGTGGCTAGGGTGTATTGCGAATGCGAATTCAGATTGCGATTGGTTCGCAATTAGATGAGCTTGATTGTGAACTCAGATCACAACTGGATTATGAGATGTGATTCAAGATTGTGAAAACACATCCAAGGCTAGGGTTTCCTAGATCAATGTACGATCACCAAGGATTGTTCATAAAAATATAACTCGGTTGCAAATAGAGAGAATTTCTCTAGTTTCAATTCAGAGAATTTCTTTGGTCTCTTTGGTTTGGAGAGAATTTCTCTAGTTTGGACCAGAGAAATTCTTTGAATTGAACGGACATCTTCTTCTCGACATCCAAAAGGTTCCATACGAGCATTTGCACCCTGAATATGCCTATGAATAGGGCGATGTTTACATTTTGTGAAAGAAATTGTAGCTGTAGCACACACATATCCGGTAAGTCTTAGAATTCAGAGTGGAGACAAAATGTTCTATTCGTGAGGAATTTCTTGTTAGAACTAAATTTAAGTGGAGAAAACCTGATTTGAAATTTGTGATTGTTGACTGCTTTAGTATTATTTTGTGGGTTTGTTAGTAAAGATTGCATTGTTGGCTTACATATTACACAAAGTTAGAGAAATTCTTTGTGAATAAAGCCTGAGAAATTTTCTCTGACTCTATTCACAAATTTTCTCTACACAATTTTCTTTGGATAGAGCCACACAAAGCCACACAAAATTTCTCTACACAATTTTCTCTAGATAGAGCCACACAAAGCCACACAACTTTTCTCTACACAATTTTATCTGGATAAAGCCACACAAATTTTCTCTACACAATTTTCTCTACACAATTTTCTCTGAATAAAACTACACAAAGCCATACAACTGGATAGAGCCACACAAAGTCACACAACTTTTCTCTACACAATTTTCTCTGGATAGAGTCACACAAAGCCACACAAATTTTCTCTACACAATTTTCTCTGGATTTCTTTGGTACTCAAAGAAATTTCAATTTTCTCTGGTTTGAACGTAGATAAATTCTTTGGGAAGTCTAGAATTTCTCTAGGATTGAAATTTCTTTTGATCGATATTGAGGGACCTTAGACATTATAAAAATATTGGATGTCCTTTATATTATAAAATCTTAATCCTAGGGACTTTCTTTTAACTCTTTTTTATTTTTTTTATAAATTGGGGAATTTGATTACTAAAACTTAAAAGCATTCGTACAATAGTCTGGGATCCCTTGAGCATCATTATGAAGTTTTTGCATACATAGTAAGTGTTTGAGAAGTGACTACTTTCTAGGCTTTTTAACTATTCGGCTATTTTAGTTTTTGTGTGTTGGGAAGATGAGTTGAATTTTTTTGTTAGATTGATGTATTAAAAAATGTGTTTGAAATGATGTGGGGATAGTAAATGACCAAAATGCCCCTATGTGTATTGTTGTTGCTACTATGGGTTTCTCAAAAATTAAAAGGGCAAAAGTGTCATTTTACCTTATGTCCATTACAATTGTGCATTACGTAGGAAGCCCTTAGCAACAGTACTTCTTTTTGGATTTTTTTCTAAAGAGGCTAAAATAGCCTATAAATTTCATTCCCAAACACCACCATAATGGAACAACATGATAAATAAACAAGTCTTCTCCCCTCAAGCTTTCTTCATTGGATAGTAGATCAACACAACCTTTTGCTTCGCGATATACGGGGACGAAATTAGGAGAAGACTATGGGGGCCATGACCCCCTTGTTTTTGTGAAAAATATGATTTGTCGTGATATTTTAAAAATATATATCTCATTCTCATCCCATCTTACATTCTCTTTTTATTTTACCCCAAATTTTTTTTGTTCATCCTATTAGAAATTGCTTTTATGGTATTTGAATTTTTTTTTTGTGTACAGATATAATTTATATATCATATTATATATATATGTGTACTTATGTATATGGTAAAAAAATTTATTTGTCTCTTAACAATCCTGGTTCCATCTCTGGCGATATATATGCTTAATTTCCTCCACTCCCAATTGGCCCATGAGACACCTACAGTCATGAGCAAAATTACTAAGCTGATGGTGATATGCAGTATTGCCCATAATGAGGTGTTTGACTGATAATTCATCGATTTTCACATCAATATTTTTAATGTTGAGATCAAGTGCTAGTTGAAGTTCATCTTTAAGTCCCCATAATTCAACTGCAAGTCTACAACACTAGAAGAGTTACCAAATTTTCGAGTGAACCCAGCAACCTAGTTGCCCATGGTATCCCTAATGAGACCACCAGCTGAAGCAGACCCAGGGTTGCCTTTGGCCGCGCCATCTATGTTGAGTTTGAACCTATTAATATCAGGTGGTTTCCAGCTTAACAAAGGAGAGTGATTGGTTTTTTATGCGTAGAGGAAAATTGGATATGAATTGCCAATCAATGGCTTTAGGCCACAAGGGAGTTGTGGTTTAGATGGGAGGGGGGTCAAAACAGATAGAATTTCGATGTTTCCAGATGGTCCAACATGAGAGGGAGAACAGTAAAGCCCAACGGCAAGAAAAGGGTGCTGTTGCAATTTGTTGCCAGCCATTGGTTCACATCAAGATTGAAGGAATGTGTAAGGGGAGGAAGGACACCTAGGTGGTTCCAGAATTCAGTGGCACGGGTGCAGTCTCAAAGAATATGTGTGACAAACTTAGATGGGGTCTTGTACATGTTGGAAATATGGTTTAATATAGGCATATTTTCTAGCTTAAAATTGAGTGGGCCCCAAACGTCTTTTGGGGTGGGTCCGAAGAGGTGATGTTTTCCTTGCCGCGTGGCAAGTCACACGTGGGTCCGAAGAGGTGATGTGTTCCTTGCCGCGTGGCAAGTCACACGGTGAAGACGGAACGTCAAAACCATTTATGAGTGAATGGGAAGTTGACGTCATTTTCGGATTTAACATTAATTCTTTAGATAAAAATTCTTTTGAATTTTTTCAATAAAAAATTATTGTGGAAATTTAATTTAATTCTAAATTCAAATTTTGGATTCCTAAATGGTTTTCTAAAATTTGTACCTCTTACTTTATTTATTAAACTATTCAATTTGTTTAATATATATATATATTCAAAATAGTTTATTTAATAAAGGTAAAATAAATTTGAATTCCAAACAGGTTGTTTGACCAACGGATCTTTTCAAATTTGTTTTCAATTTGCCTCGATCAACTTTATTTGAATGTGATATGAGCAGAACCTGTTCACTACAGTTTTGCACCTATTCATTTCCTTAATGCACCTGTTTGGGTCATTTTTTGTTGCCTATAAATACTACATTCCAGCAATGTTAAAGCCCCGGAAAAAATTCAGTCCGTATATTCTGATATTGCTGTCCATTTTGCTCTAAGTACATATATTCTTCATATATTAGATTTAGAAAAAATATTCAGAGAGTTAGAATACAGATTTGGTTCGCCGAACAAATTGTTTGGTGTACTACTATAATTTGTGAAGATCATTGGCCCTGTTTGGTAGAGCTGTGGGAAAGTGCTTATAGCTTATACCTTAACAACTTATAACTTATAACTATGAACATAAGCTGATTTCTGACTTATAAATTAAGCATCTCCTGCCCCACTCAAAAAATAAGCTGATTTTTGACTTATAAAAAGCTATAAGCTGCA